GTCGGCCCCCAGCACAGACGTCCTCCTCGCGCTCGGTCCAGCTCCAGTCCGGCTTCACTCCCGCCTTCCACGCACACCGACCCCTCTCTCTTCGGCCGCCAGAGTCCGTCCAGCGTGCGGGGGACTTTTATCCGGATCCTTCGCTTCGGCTTCGCGTGGTTAATTTATTCGGACTCTAGTGGTGTGGATTCTGCCGAAGGAGAGCGGCGACAACCCACCACCCCCTTCGGGAACTGTCGGGTTCCTTCAGGAGGTCGAGAAATACCGATTCAAAAAAGTGCGTCGGCATAGGATGTTCTGACAGCCTCCCGCGATGGAGAGAGCGATGTTGCTGAATCTGCTCCTGCTGGCGCTGGGTAAGTCCTGCTGCACCGCTTTTCCACCCGCTGCTTTCCCTTGTATATATGTGGCTATAATAACAATGCGCTTTCTTCGAGTAGACTGTGACATATTAATACCGTAAAACAAATGAAGAGTAAAATTCTTTGAGCATATTTCCCTGAAACAAATCCTGGACAGACGAAACTCTTAATAGACGACGCAGCACCTTTACTAACCCCTGCATGCCTTTGGTGAGGTTACATAAAAGTATGAGAAGAGTGTGTCTGTTAGTGAGTAGTGTCACGTCATCGCACTTCTTCTGTTACTGTCAGATAATAAAAAAAAAAAAATCAAACGAAATGCATCTTATAAATCATGTTTCGGCTTTAAAGTCAACGTAAAGATACTCCCTTTACGTTCTTATAACATTAAAGATTTTTGTAAAGTTAAATAAAAGGAGAACTAAAAAAAAAAAATGTATATATATATGATCAGATGCATTAATTTACCGATATTTCTCTTTGGAAAATGAACTCGATCTTCCACTCCTGTCAGCTCAGACACTCCCTTGCTGACTCTGTCCCGTCGATATGTAATTAGCTGACTTCAGAGGCTTCATAAGTGTCACCCAAAGCTCTTAAGAATTAGATAGTTGTTTGAAGTCGATATATAAAAAGTATTGATTTCATATATTGCATCTAGTAAATCGAACATTTTAGAGTTAATACGATTTACGAAATGCCCCATATATAAAAAATATTGATTTTATATATTGCATCTAGTAAATCGAACAGTATAGAGTTAATACGATTTACGAAATGCCGCATAGAATTATCGTATCAGGAATATAGAAATTATATGTATACCTTAGTTTATGCTTTATTGAAATTCTGATAACGAAAAACGTTTTTTTTTTCTCTCATCCTGAACGATAGCGAAACCATTTAATAATCGCCATTAAATTAACATCGCGGCGCCATTTTCGAAATACCAGACATGTCCCTCTGTCCTCGAGTGGTGAAAATACGAGGCTCGAAACGTCATTAATTTTCTGAGAAAGTTCGAGGCATCGTCTTGGGTTTTCTCCCCAAAGTGATCCCGGACAGACCGACCGACGCCGAAAAATGAAACGTTTACACGCCTCGCCATGCTTGGAATGACCTCAAAACGTCATCGTCTCCCCCCCCCCCCCCCTCCTTCCCTCCCCCACCCCCTGCCCCTATACCCTCCCCATACCCATTTATATCCCATTCATGACCATCTTCCTTTTCTCTCTGCTCCCCTCCCCCCCCTCCCCCTCCACACACCTCCATTCCCCATCCCCCCCCCCCTCCCAATCACCCTATTCTTCTCGTCCTCCTCACCTCCCCTCCCTTTCCCCTCCCCCCCCTCCCTCCCCAAGGGTCTTCACGACGGAAAGTGAAAGCTCACACTTGTATTCCCGAACGCCCGCTTAGTGAGAGTACCTAGTGTACCCCCTCCCCCTCCCCTCCCCGAACCCCACCCCCTCCAAGATACCGCCCTCCTCCTCCTCCTTCCCCCTCCCTTCCTCTCCCTTCCTCCTCCCCTCCTCCCTTCCCTTCCTCCCTTCTCCTCCTTCTTCCTCCCTTCCTCCTCCCTTCCCCCTCCCTCCTCCTCCCTTCCCTCCTTCCCCTCCCTTCCTCCTTCCCTCCTCCTCCTCCTCCACCCTCCCTTCCGCCTCTCCTTCCCTCCTCCCTCCCACCTCCTTCCCCTCTCCCCTCCTTCCACCTGCCTTCTCCCTCCCTTCCTCCTCCCTCCTCCGTTCCCTCCCTTCCTCCCTCCTCCTCACCTCCTCCTTCCTCCTCCCCCACCAAGCTATTTGTCTCGTGAGAACAATTTTCTCCATTGACGGGAAAATATTCGTGCCTGTCTGCTTGCACATTCGTCGAAGAAGCGTAAAGGGGGAATAAAGATAGGATGAAGAAAGGAGAAGGGCGAACGGGAGAATAGAAACAATGCTAAGAATAGATGATAAGACGTAAGGGATATATAATGATGGAGGTATATTTACATACGCACGCTTAACGAAGAAGCGTAGAGAGAAAGCAAAGAGGAAGCAAAGAAAGACAGAAAAAAATAATAAAACAGGGGATAAGAAAACACGATGATAAAGAATGCATAATAAGGAGGAATAAAGGACGACGGACGAAGGAGGTAG